GGGTCACCCCCCCCCCCCCCCGCCCCGAATATGGATGTCAATGAGGAGGCCTCGGCACTATCGGGCACCTGGTAGTGTATTAGTATTTTTCCTTGGTGTGAGAAGGGACTCTGAGAGCCCATCCCACATGAAAGAATGCTCTTTCAGCCTGGACACATGGGGGAGAGCCTAGGCCCACAGCCCAGGATGATGTGGTGGACTTTGGGGAGCCCTACCCTCCCTAGGGAGTAGAGGGGGGGTGAGAGACAGGTGGGGGTGTTGGGGGGAGGGGAGGGAGAGGGAGAAGGGATTGACATGTGAAGCAAGCTTGTTCCTAATTTGAACTAATAAAAAAAAAAAAACCCACAAAACTAAGCAACAACAACAAAAACCAAGTTAGTCCTTCTGTATTTTAAGATGTATCTCCTGGCTGGTATTCATTCTTTTTAAGGAAAGCTTCAAAGGCTATAAAAACCTGGGTCTTAGTTTTAACCTTTATACTAGGCCTAAATTATAAGCACAGATTTCTGCAAATAGCTAGTAATTTTTCAACATATATTAGAAAGGTCTATAGCATTTCTCAGAACAGAAAAAGATGTTTCTCTTCCTCCTGTTGACTGAAAAGGCTGGGGTAGGCAGTGCAGCAGGACTGGGCACTATGCCAGGTTAGGAAAACAACTGGGAGTGGACTAGTGCCTATTGTAAATTAAAAAGGAGCAGGTTTCAATTAGCTCTACAGCCTGTGTAAGCTGAGCAGGGAAGAACAGTTATATAGAAGTGAGATGTTCCTGGAAGGGTACCATGCAAAGCACTCAGCACCTGCAGGTACAGAGTGAATTCTGGGAGACCAGACTGAGCTATTTCAGGCATAAAGACAAAACCAAAATGAGTCTGCCTGCCTCTAAACACAAAAGACAGGTGAATATAAAAGAAGGTCACTGCTTTCTTAATTGGCATTAAAACAAGGTCTGGATTATACTATGGTTAACAGATCAGTTTAAGATCATTTGTGTGTGTGTGTGTGTGTGTGTGTGTGTGTGTGTGTGTGTGCGCGCGCGCGCGCGCCACGCACACAAGCATAAGAGTACCCACAGAGCTCAGAAGAGAATATCAGATACCCTGGAGCTGAAGTTACAGGTCACTGTTAAGAACCCTGACAGAGGTGCTGGGAACCAAACTCAGGACTTCTGAAAAAGCAGCCAAGTAATCATGATGACTGGGCCATCGTTCCAACCCCATCAATTTAAAGATATCATGAAAACTGCACTAAATGTACTTCAACATTTTTAATAAGTGGGTTCAAAGGGAAACAGCAATTGATACCATATGCTTTAAAATCAAATATGCCTGTGTTTTGGTTTTTGTTTTGTTGTAGTTGAGACAAGGACTCACTATATAGTTCTACCTAGAACTCTCTATGTAGACCAGGTACTAAGACTGAAGGTGTGAGCACGCATGCCCAGCCTGTGTTTTATATTCAGTCTAATCACCTACAACTTGTATGAAATGTGGATAGAACTGCCTTTACTTTACCTCCTTTTTTGTAAAAGTTGACACATAAATTCGTTCCACAAATGGCTTTTACAAGTTCTATGTAAAGACTGTCATACAGTGGAACAGCTATTAATACTATGTGAACTGGAGAGTGTGATTCTCTCCTGCCTAATGTCTACAGAGCTGCTGAGCGAAACAATCATTTAGAAAATTGCTTTACAAACCACCAATACTCTACAATAATATAGGGTGTGACAAAGAGAATAACCTTTCAAATCTGATGCTACTCTGTGACAGCAAACCATAACCATGGGCTTAGTTCTTCAACAACTTCATGAAGTCACTCAATAAAGCTAAGTGCTAAATGTAATCACTGGGAAAAACAGACTTTCAAGGCTGAATCACTAAATACAAAAATGTAAAGTGTTTAAAGCAATACACAGATAATGTTATCCTTGTAGATAGTAATTCTAAAATGTATTCTCATGATTTTAACGGTTCTAAAAAAATTATAGATATCCACCATAACCAACACATTGTATTAGGCCAGATGACCCTAGGCAATTACCTATCAATGTGCTTATGACATTTTACCCACTTGTACTAAGCTCTTACAGCTTAAACATAATTAATGTGAATTATTTGCTTCTTCACTATTAAGTTAATATAATTTTATATGTACTTTGAGGTACAGTGTCTATTTTACACTTACAGCAATCCCAATTAGATTAAACAAGTTTCAATTGCTCAACAGCCACATATGAAAACTGGCTACAATATTAGATAACACAAGGCTTAAGTATCATTCAAAACAGCCCAAAGAATTACTGGTTATATTTATTAAAAAACTACACTGTTTTGTTCCATTCCAACTTTTACTTCAGTAAGCAAACAACATAAAATCATGTCTGAAGTTGAATAAAAACAGCAAGATAATGTCAAAATTTCGAAGTATATTCTGACTTACTAGAAGTTGGGTCTGGCTGATGGGAATTTATGATGAAGAGATGGGTGATTTATTAACTTTAATTTCTGGTATTTACAACAAAAACATTCTGGCATCTCTTCTAATTAGAATCTGATCACAAAGATACATTTGTTTCAGAGAAAATTTTAAAAACTTACTAATTATTAAAATCATTCATTACTAAAATATATCTAGGATAAAATAAATTTTGAGAAATAACTATTTAAAATCTCAAGCTTCAAGATGCTGTCTCTTCAAAAAAATGTGAGACTAAAATCTAACACATGAACGGAAAGCCAAAAATGAAACTGCTACTTTACCTGGGAGCACAGGGGTGCCTGTACTGAGCCCTTTTATTTGTGTGATCCACATAATAGGTTCCAAATTCTGAGGACTCTACTCGTTCCCATCCAGGAGGAAGTCCTTCTCGTTCAAGAGGATGACTCCAATGAGTTGTATTTGTGTTATGATCTATGTAGTATTTTCTCCCTCTCATTGTCCAGTCCACAGACCAGCCAGGGGGAAGGGGTAAATCTTCAGAACCATGGTTAGTTAAATTCCCAAGAGATGTAGCAGCAACTCTCCCAATACCTGAAAAGAAAATGGAGCAAGTGTTCAATTATCTCTTGAAATTTACGATGTCAATGTAAGATTTCCAAAATATTAGCCATTACTATTAAATTAGAAAGAGAAAGAACTGAATTTTGAAACAAATACGAGTTTTGGCTTATCTGAATCTTCCATTACCAGGGCACAGGAAATATTTGTAAGGAAAAGTGAAGAAAGGAAAACTCTCAAGATTTAAGATTTGAAATTTCATCTAAAAAATGAAAAAGCAAAAATAAACTTGTAAAACCATTCCCAGTTCATAATGTTTAGAAGAATCTAGCTATGCCCTAGAATTATTAAGTAAGATTATCAAGGCAGGTCTTACAGTCAGTATGCAAATGAGTCAAACAGCCATATGCTGCCCACAACTAGAAATAGAGGTTAATGAAATAGCACCACTTATGAATGACAGCTCTAAAAATCAAAAAGTCATTTCCATTTAACCATATATTTTATATATTCGGCTAAGCAAAATGTTTAACTTTAAGGAATGACAATAAACTCATCTTTCAACTCTTTTGAAATTATACTGACAGTTTTAATACACTGAAATGCCAGACTTCCCTGCTTAGAAGAGCAATGTTTCCTTCTTCAATCACTTCAGTGTCTATGAAAACAGCAATGACAAAAATAGTTTAGAAGAAACATTAAAATTAAGATATGCTTGAATAGAAATGCTTCTATTCAAACTGAAATTCTAAAGGATGAAATGTAAATTCATAAATAAATATAGGTTTATTGGCAGGTGTTTTAAAAACTATTCACTAACACATCCCTGCAGCACAGTTTATAGAAAGGCTAGCGATGAGCCAATACTGACACAGTAGGCGACTATGCCACTAGATGCTGAGGTCAGAGCAGAGTACTGAACTACACAGCTCCACTCGTGAAGATTTTCTCTACTTTCTACCCTGAG